TATGTTGAACTGATATCAATCTGCATATGTGATGGACATTGGTTATGATCATCTATGGTATCTTCTTTGAAAGCATCTCGAGTAAAACAAGTACATACAAAAGATCTGAACCGAAAGCAATGTGACCCATTTTAGAGAATACGGAAGTTTGTTGCACATAACCCATTGATAAAACCATCTGCTGTTGTGATATGAAATTTCTGTAATGCACCCACTGTATACCTAAAATAACACAAAACAAAGTCTAAAGGCAATTTTTGACTAATATGCTTAAATGGCCTATATAATAAAAAGCCCCTAAATTACCCGTTCACTTCTAATAAAACCTACCTTCCTGGTTCTCCAAGTGAGCTTCCAGTTCTCGGAGACAACCCTGAGCCTCGGGGAGGTCCATCTTATTTATGACCAGGATCGCTGGCTTGCCTAACAGTTCCTCCTTATACAACTCCAATTCCTGATTAACAGAGAAAATCAAGAGCATTTTATGCATCATAATCGTATATGTAGAAGCATTTCATTCAGAAAAGAAGTAGTGTTTTTTTTTACATAGAACTCACATGTCATATATACTGTATATGTATGTGTGAGTGTGTGTATTCATATGCACATTGCCGTTCAAAAGTTTGGGGTCAGAATTTTTGTTTTTGAAAGAAAACTCTTTTATGCTCACTAACACTGCATTTATTTGATCACAAATACAGCAAAAACATAAATATTGTAAAATATTATTACAATTAAAAATAATTCTTCTATTTTAATATATGTAAAAAAAAAAAAAGTAGTTTCTTCCTGTGATGGTAAAGCTGAAATTTTAGCAGCCATTATTCCAGTCTTTATTGTCACATGATTCTTCAGAAATTACAATTCTTCAGAAATCAATCTAATATGCTGATTTAGTGCTCAAAAAAACATTTCTTACTCTTTTCAATGTTAAAAACAGTTGCTTAATATTTTTTTGTTAAAACTGTGACACATTTTTTTCCAGGATTATTTGATGAATAGAAATTTTAAAAGTATGGTATTTATTTGAAATATTTTGCAATATTATAAATGTATTTACTGTCCCTGTTGATAAATTTAACGCATCCTTGCAGAATCAAAGTATTATTTTTTTTTTTTTAAGTACTGAACTCAAACTTTTAAACGGTTGTGTATATTATTACCTTGGTTAAAAGCAGCACGGTTTCAAATGCAGACCTAACCGGGGTATTACTAGCTAGCTGAAACCCACAGATGTCGACCTGAAACATCAGAACATGAGATTACTACTCAACTCTTACAGTCACTAACATTCGAGTTCACATAACAGACAAAACGCAGTACCACAAACATGAGCTGCTTGGTTCTCTCCACATGCTTGAGAAACTTGTGTCCCATGCCTTTATTCTCATGAGCACCTTCAATGAGTCCTGGTAAGTCTGCTACTGAAACCTCCAGAGAAAAACAAACTTCTGTAACTCACTCTGGCATCAGTCTGAAGAAGTGTGTATTAATGACACACCATATAATATAAAATCATAATTGCTGAAGGTCTGTTCATCGAAAATGTATATTGTATGTATATATTGTATATAACGATATACTGTAATTTTTTGGTTTAATTCTCAAGTTATTTTATGGGAGAAGGTCAAAACCAAGCTTGTTAAACAGTGTATAAGTGCTAAGTGCTATTATTTCATCACATTTTGAAGAGCCTGTTATCCTACCTGCTTGTGGTCATTATACATAACCTTTCCAATTTCAGGTCTTAAAGTTGTAACTGCAGAGGGAAAATAAAGGAAAATAACAAGACATAATTGCAAAAGTGGCAATTTTATATACATACATACAGTGGGTACGGAAAGTATTCAGACCCCCTTAAATTTTTCACTCTTTGTTATATTGCAGCCATTTGCTAAAATCATTTAAGTTAATTTTTTTTCCTCATTAATGTACACACAGCACGATGTCACTTTCTTCACCCGCTTCACGGCAAGTAAAGCCTCGCCGTGGCGCGATCCATAATTTCCAAAAGCTCATCATACGCAGGGCAGGAGGATTGGGAAGGCTCAGCCTCAGCTTCTTTGCCCTCCTCAGACATTTCCTGCTCTTCCTGGGCTGAACCCAGCAGATCACTGGCCCCTGGATCAGACGATGTTAATGAAATAACATCATCCTCCAGCGGCTCACTCTCGTGCACAGCCGACGATCGCAAAAGGCAAACCCCTTTTCAAACTCATCGGCCAGATCCACCTGTGATCCCCACGAGATCATTTCCTTCCGTGCCTCAGCAGCGGCGGGTCCTGAATCGTGGGGAGCAGATGGCTGCCCCTCTTTCCTCGAAAAGAGAGACAAACGAGAGCGGAGCTTTTCCCTTGGAAAAAACGCTCGCAGTGCACGCCGATTGCCCCCTCGGAGGCATCGCGTGCGTGCTCTTCGCCCAAACAAATAACGCATAGAGACTGCTCTTACCACAGAAATGCACGCTTCAAACAAAACAGTCAATGAAGACGAAGAAGAGAATGATGTGTGCTCCCGGCGCCTATTTATACTGTAGTCGCACCGGTAGTGACGTCATGGCTGTCGCCGGCCAACGAGTTGGTGTTTTTTCAATGTATGCTTCAGACACAGGTCACGACGAGGCGTTCCCCCATAGCGACCCCTAGAGGACGCAGTTCGAAGTTCCCATGAAAGGGAACGTCAAAATTACAGCAGAAATACATCAGGAAAATTACCTAGGCTACTTATTCACGTCATCCTACAACTGCTGACCTACAGTGAGATTAGCCTATGAAAAACGCATTTATCATTAATTTGTGGAAATATTAAAACCGAATTATGGATAACGTTAATTATTTGGCACTGTCATATGTCAGCTTGAACATGTCACCAATCAGCTAATATGCTTAACACATGATAAAAGTGTTGAGTGTAGCTTCATGTTTGTAACAGTAATTAGATACACAGCAATTTGCTCCACGATCTGTTAATGACACAGAAGTTACAAACTGAGCATGTGAAGGTCGGGCTACTAAACTAACTAGTTAAATGTCATTCGACAAACTCGCCAAAGATACCAACCTTCCGGAAACAAACTCTGCTTGTCCAGACCATCCCGAAATAACTCCCCAAGGCAGAAAATGTATTAAAGTTGCATTAAATCTGTCTATTTTTAGTTACAACGTTACTGGCTCTGCATCGTTGAAGTAAAGGACCAAACACGTGCGTGCTTCCGGAAACATACCAATGTGTGCTGTGATTGGCTGAAAGTCCTGTCCATTACACATGTTTCCGCCTCCCACCGACAGCATCAGAACGTCGTAGTTTTCAATAATCGTAGTGATATGATCTCGAGGGAGCTTGCTCACATTTATCTGCGCACATGATTTCCACTGCCAGGTTTTAGGTATGACTCCCCTTGTCATAAATAGTAAAGTATTGTATTTTTGTAAACAATTTACACAAAAGGGGACTGAATGATCTGGGCGTCCCAAGCAATGCGAAACTGAATTAAAAATGATGGTACATTACAAAACTATTTGTTATGAAGTATAATTATTTGTATTTCTTATTTTATTACTATTTTTTATTTTTGTTTTTTATTTATTTATTTATTTTAGATTTCTAGCAACTAAAAAATCTGCATTAAAAATACAATGAAATACATTTAGCCTATTAGGCTAACTAATTTCTTAAGTGAGATTATTTAGTTTTTGTCTAGCCTAACTGTCAAAAAAAATTATATAATAATAATAAATAAATAATAACAGTAAGCTAATCATGAGCTCTAAGTACAGATTGTAATTCAATTATGTTCTTCACGTCAGAGGGTTTTTAGTGTAAGTGGAATGGGCTACAATCAACAGCATGACGCTTGAACGTGGGCGCGCAGGCAGCTCTTTAAAAGTCGTAAAACACTCGCTCAAAGCCAATTATTCGCCTCAAAGGTATGAACAGAAAAGGATCTACGGGACAGAAAAGACTGAACTAAACATTGTAAGTGAATTATTTTGAGTATTTTACATGTAACCATTTGAAAACTTGTCTTTTTGTTGCGTTACCAAATGATTGTTGTTTTACGTGGCATTTTGTTTATGGTTAGTAGTAGCTATATAAATGTAAAGGCTGAAGACGGACACTGTGTGTATTTACTTTCTGTTATATGCAACAGTTTTCAAGTCATAAAAGATTTCACTGTTGATTCCAACATGGGACGATTACTGGGATTCCTTGACGGCCAGTGGTGGCGCCTACTATTAGTGTGTCTGCTGATGCTCGCCACCGCATCATCGTACACTATACCCAATCTCGAGATGCTCAACACCGAGGGCACAGGGGGCGGCAAGGCTCCCGGTCAGCTGGGCGAGATAAACCGCGAATGCTGGGACGCTTCGTCATTGGCAGTAATACAAGCGCGTAAATTACGCGTTGCAGAAACAGTAGCTGGACTCTGGGACTTCATGACATACTTGAGCGGGTCTAATCAACCCAAACATCAAGACAGTTTTATGGAGTTGGCGCAGGTCTTTTGGGAGAGGTATGTGGACTGTGTGCTGGCACGCGCGCACGGACTGGGCAGAAGGGCCAGTACGTCCAGGCAAGAAATCATCAAAGTGTTAACTTATCATTCAGAAGGGATGAAGATCTAGATACTTTATTGCGTGTTTAACTTTTCATGTCTGTCAAATATAGAGATAGAATGTATTTCTTTGTGACTTTCGTCTATCAAACTACAGCTAAATTAGCTTGTACAAATAAATGTCGCTCATTCTGTTACAACGCTGTCAAACATAATACATGCCAACTAATATGTATTAAAACATATATATTTTTAATAATGTGTTGGCAATACCTATGTATTTTCAACATTTCTCACACCTTAGAAACGTAAAAAAAAAAAAAAAAAAAAAACATTTTACATACAGTGGAAAAATAACTGGGTCACTGGGTCACTTTTCAGCTATGTGCTATGGGAACTGTATAATAATAGGCCTAATAATTTAAAGGACATACAATGTATTCATTTGGATGTCTAGAGTAAAATGTACATACTACACTTGGGGCAACACGATAGTCAAAATGAACATTGAGTTCAGTATAACACCATTCTGGCAGATCCCTGCAGTGCCACAACAGCCCCAGACAATAATCACAATCAATCACAATACCGCAAATCAGCATCCAATTAAGGTACCAGCTGCCCAATTACAGTCAACAACTACCATATTAAAATACACAGTACCAAATTTAACACAAAGCTCTTATGTATTGTGTTGAACTTGTTCAGAATCTCAGATCAGTGAAGGTGGGTGTACTAACATTTTCTCGTACTCATGATTATCTCATGGTTCATTTTAGTGATTTTTGTGCCATAATTTCTCTCTGCTAATTAGTATTTACACATTTATGTGCAAAAGGTTCTTTGATGTACAGTATGGCACAATAATTAATTAATGTGCAGTGACATAATGAAAGATTACCTGATAGATTCCACCATCATATTTAGTACAGTATGTTCAGTCTGAAGGTGTCAGAGTTATTACAGTTAACTAATGCTAAAACCATAAAAGTATTAACTGAAATAAAATATTTACATTTTGTTTCAGCTAGTTGTTCAGGCACTATTTCTCACATTCACAAGTCTAAAACTGAAATAAAAATACTAAAAAAAAACATATAGACCTTAAAAAATAACAACTAATGAATGACACACAACTAAAAAAATTAAAACACACACACACACACATATTTTAACAATTTATTTAAATACACTTAGACGAAATAATTTACAGGGACATAAATATTGCAGATGCAGTTAAATACGTGCACAATCATGAACCAGTGAATCATGAACCACACACACACACAAAATCTACATACAAACTAATTCCGTATCAAACAGACTGCTACTAGCCTATGACAAGATATCAAATCTAAAATGAGTTATGAGGAGGAACACAGTTGTGGATGGTGTTCATGAAGGGGTAGCCTAACTGATGTTGGAGCTGTGAGGTAACTCTACGGTTAGGACACTTTTTATTACATGAACTATTCACCAGTGACACGTTCTGTATACGTTTCTGAACCATCACCGAACAATCAACTGAACTGTCCTGTTCACTTCCCAAGAGTTTCATCGGAGCAGTAACGCACATAGCTGACCTAAATGAACAGGAGTCCGTGTTACGTATGAGAGTAATTGAATGATTCAAGCAACGTGAGATTGTAATTGTATTGTCCTAGCAAGCGCTCCAATGAGGGCACTAAAAACACGCAAGTGACGGCTGTAACCACAACACCTGCAGTGAACCAAGGACAAGTAATTATAAAACTACTTTTATATGCTTTTATAAAAACAAACAAGTCTTTGATTATAAAACTCACCACTACAGAAACATTTACTGAGCAATAGGGGAGCTGAATAAAGAGATAAAAGGCACTTTTGCTATTACTATGCCAAATAAACATGCAACATGTGCGATTTTGCAAAGCTGACGCGCACATATAGTAACGATCGATTGAGTTTCCTCTCGTTTAACGGAAAAAGAGCGTGCTGTTATTTCTCTGATGCCATGTGCGCGCGGCAGACTCCGCGGATCTGGGCTCGCTCTGCATGCCTGCCGGTGCGGCACGAGGCGCAGATGATGCTGGATAGGGACTGATAGAGACTGACGCCTCGCAGCTTTTCCGCGCTGCTACTCTGGAGTAGCTATAACGCATATGATTCAGCGACGTGTTAAAAAAACAGTCAGCAGCATCTTTAGAAAATCAGTCGTCCAATATCATCCTGTGACTCGGCGTGGATCCTCCCACTAGGGATACGGACTATTTATACAGCGTGCAGCATCCCGAGCCTTCTAGAGATACGAAATCTGAATCTGAAAAAAACAGAGAATCTGAAGATTTTTCGTTTGGAGGTAAGGACACCACTATAGAAATGTCTTTAATAATATTCCAAACAATACATGCGACTGTAGATGTGACCTAAATTGTGCCAGATTAAAATCAAACATCATTTTCACAATGTTCGTTTCTGATATTCCGCTAAAGCTTCTCGTTTATACACGCATTTTAGTGCTACACCGGGCCGCATAAAGTTACAGTCACTGCTGTCATTTTATCTCTACGTAAAATGAAGTTTTTTCTTGGAAGGATTGAAACAACTACCATTTTTGTGCCGTTAACAACATGAGCCCTAGGTAGGTGCAGATATAGTGTACGTCTATGAATAGACACAGGCCATACAGACAAAAACAGAAACTAATTTAGCCTATAATATTTAACAGATACGTTCTTATGATGTGCATATTCAGAGCAGGTAACATGGCAACATTGTTACACCATTAGTTAATGTCTGAAATTAGTGCTTTTCGAATACTGTTCAAACTGTTCTAAAATGAAATTATTTTAAACGGTTGCCGTCTTTTCAGTGTGAATCTACTATTTTGGGGGCGTATACCTTATGCGCATCATGAATACACACGTGCTTTCACATACACGTGCATGCCTGTATACATACTGACATACCATCCAGTCTGAGCTTCAGGCTCACTGATAACACTGTCTAGAGTACTACACACACACAAAACTAGCAGTACAACTCTCTTCACACTTGTAATGTACATTCACACAGTTACTTTGTAGAAATACTTATAAATATAGTGTGTCCTGTCATGTCTAATGTTTTGCTTTCCCATCATATGAAAGCAGATAAATAAACAGGGTCTTAAGAATTTAAACAACTTGAATATTGAGATTTGAATGTCTAATGTCAATGATGGAGGAAATGTTGGCTCACAAAACAATACTCAATTCTATTGATTATACTTTTATCAACAACTAAACCAGCTGGAACATTTGAAATTATTATTGGCACTGGCTTTGTTAAATAAATAAGGGATAATGCACAGTTATAATAGCAGAAAAAATACTTTAAAATATCAAAACACAAGCACAGCTATAGGAAATCTGGATCAGCAGTCAATTATACTGTTTTGCATTATTCAGAAATATTTGACCACTGAATTCAGTGACTGACCAGTCAGAAACAAGCTGTGTAATACATGTTATGAGGATCCAGTCTTTTTTGAAAACAGAGAAATTAGTGTGGAAAAACAAGGGTCTAGTCAGCCCATGAGTACCCCTTGTGAATGTGGTCTGGAGACTGTTAAATGGGGCAGTGGGGTGGAAATGGCAGTTCCAAACCCTGCCAACGCTCCCCTCCTCCCCTTACACACCCCTGTCCCACCATCCTCACTCCCGGTTATGCCTGGAATCCTGCGCACTC